TGTGAATCTTTGAAATTTTGGATGTGAATCTTTAAATTTTTTGAATGAAAATCTTTAACTATTGGGTGTGAATTTATAAAATTTTTGAATGAAAGTATGTGAATTTTAAAGTGAGCCTTGAAATCTTTGATGTGAATCCATGAATTTTTTATATGAAACTTTAAATTTTGGATGTGAATCACTAAAAGAACCTTTTGAATACAAATTGCAATTTACAAATCTTTATAATGATGAAAATTCTTTTAAACCTAAATCTCTTACGAATCTTTAAAATTCTTATGAATTTGAATTTTTGTGAATCTGAAAATCTTTGCAAATCTAAAACTTCTGCGAAACTTGGAATTCTTATGAATTTGAAACTTTTGCGAATCTAAAACCTCTGTGAAAGTTAGAATCTTGTGAATTTGGAATCTTTACGAATTTGAAACCTCTGCGAAACTTGGATTATTGCAAATATGGAATCTTTGTGAATGTGAAACTTTTGAGAATCTTGAGTCATTTACGAACTTTGAAATCTTTACAAAACTTGAATTCTTGCAAATCTAGAAACCTTTGTGAATCTTGAATCCTTACAAAATTTGAAATCATTACAAATTTTTTACGAATCTTAAAGTCTTGGAATCTTTCAATATTTTTTTTTATAGAACCTTATGAATCTTTGCAGTTTTGTGAATCCTTGAATTTGCAAATTGTGAATCTTTGGATTTCAAGCTAAAAATTTTGATGTTTTTTGACATTTCCTATTTCAAGTTTAAAGTTACTTGGCCTTTAGATAGATGAGTCCATTTTGTTTAAGCATTTGGTTAGAGTAGTGTACTTTATATTTTAAAGTTTTAAAGCCATTAAGCCTTTTGTTTAAAAGAGTCCATTGCTTGATTTTTTTTTTTTTTTAAATTGCATGCTTTTATTTAGAGGATCCTTGAGTTAAACTGAACACGATAGTTGTCTATATCTTTGGGCAATTTTTGTTTCACAGAAAATGCACAAAGAAAGGTAACTGTAAACACTCCATTTTATCTAAAACCTTTTTTGGGATCGAAAATAGGTCTTCAACCATAAGTTAGGCCCAATTGGAAAGCTTCAGATCCAATAGAAATTTTAATTATATTAGATTTAATTTGTGGTTTAATTTTACTTTTTTTTTCTTCAACAAAAAAAAACCAAAAGAAATTAAAAAACCTAAAAAAAAAAAAGATTCTAGCTTGATTCATACAAGACCAAATCATCTAAAAGGGGAAACTCAAAATCAAATAATAGATTATAAAATCACAATAAAATCATAATCTCATGTTTGATTTACTTTCTAGATTGAAAGGGATTCAATTCCTATAAAAACAATAAACCATACGCAAACAGAGGGGGAAAAATGTTTTCATGAATTAGTTTTTTGGGTTAAGTTTTCAGTTATGGGGAATTTTTATTTTGGATTCTGAAAAGGAACATGGGAAATATTTTGGGGTTCTCGATTTTTTTTTTGGATTTTTGGGATTTTTAAGTTTTAGGGCTTCTGGGTATTCAATTATGAAATTTTTGAAATTACTTTTGAGATTCAATTCTTAGTGTCTTGAAAGTAATTTTAAGTCTTGATATGATTTTAGGAAATTTTGAAATTCTTTTGAATTTTTGGGTTTAGTATTCTATTTGAATCTTAAAAGTTCCTAGCACCATTAGAATTAATTCTTAGATTTGGATCTCATTTCTAAAATTTGGATTGCTAGAAATTTTTTTGAATTTTTGGGTTTACGATTAAATTTGTTGAATTTCTAGATTTTTTTTTGGGTTTTGTTTGATTTTTACAGTGGAAACTTGAAATTTCAGATGGCTTTCATGATGGCCGAAGGATTTTTACAATTGTCGAATTCTAGGTTCATAAAGGTTTTTAGAAAAACTTGAAGTTTCTAGTGGCCATTTAAATTTTACAGTGCCAGAAACTGGGCTTTTGACCGAGATCTAGAAGGCTTTTGCAGTTTCTAGTGAAGGAGTTAAAGAGAGGCTAAAGGAAATAATTCTGGAGAGAGATGGAACTAAAGGTTTTTGAAAAAAAAGTGAAAAATTTTGATTTATATAGCAAAGCCAAACATGCCGTTTTGTGGAGGACAGGATCCTGTATTGACATGTGGAGACCCTCGTGTAACCTAGTTGAAACCCGCCCGATTTGTAGGTTTTTTTTTTCATTTTCTTTTTATTTTTATTTTTTTATTTTTTTTTCTTTCTCTTTCTTTATTTCCATTCTCTATTTTTTTTATGTGTTACATTATTATTATTGTTGTTGTTGTTGTTATTGTTGTTGTTATTATTAATAAAAAAAATAAAGAAAAGAAAAAAATTTGTTATATTATTTATGATGGTTTTATTTATATTTTTCATGATTATTAATTAATTGCATGATATTTTATATTAACTACATGATAATTTATATGTTATATTATTGCATGATTATATTATAATTGTATGATATATTATATTATTGCATGATGTTGCATGATATTATTTGCATAATAATTTTTATATGATAATTTTTGTTTATTTTCTTTTCTTTTTTTCTCCTCAAAATAATTTTTTTAAATAATAAATTCGTGAGTCCTATTTGAAAGATTTTTTATGGATTTAATTTTTTTTATGAATTCTATCAAACTATTGAAGAATTTCATAACTTATTTTTTGTGAAAAAAAATAAAAAAATTTTTAATCCTACCAATATATTGGAGGATAATCTTCAACAGAAAAGTCTTACCAACATATTAGAGAATATTTTTTACTATAAACTCAATTTATAGAAATTTATTTCTAGAAGTAAAATTAAATGAATCCGATGATGAAATCTCTTTAAAGTGTGATAAATGGTATTCTTGAATGCTTCTGAGGTGAGAAAATATTTTTAAATTATTACCAACATATTTAAGTAATTTAAGAAAAAATTTTAATATTAAAATTATTTGGTAAATTATAAATATATTTTAAAGCTTAGATAACTTGAAATCAAATTGATATCACCTTTTAGATGGGCGTTATAAAAATGTTATAACTTTTCTCACACGTAATTGTACTCTTGAATCTAAACTTTAGTTTTACGAAATATAATTTACTATTTAAATATACCTAGGTCAATATTATGACTCTTTTTTAAATGTGACAGATTCATTCAGGTGATCAATCATATCTAAATAAAAAAATATTGGAAACGACTCTTAAAATTCATAACTAACTATAATTCTATGGATCTATACATTTTGACACAACTCCTCTATGATTTTTAGCTTTTCAAATCCTCCTAACTTCTCTGTAAAAAATCTTTAAGCCAGAACTCGTCGTCGGTATTTTGTCATTACTATCGCCATTCACAACCACCAGTTTTCATCAGTAGCTCTTTCTTTCTCCCTTTTCTATCTCTATCTTAAAGCCCAAAAATTCTCAAAAAAAAAAAAAAAAAAAAACACTCAAACCTAAACCCATAGAAAAAACCTTTGTTGATGAGTTGTTATGGCTGTTACGTGAATTTGTGATTATTTTATGGGTATGGATTTGGATTAACCGGGTATTGGGGCTTGTTTTGAGTTGAACTTGGTTTTAAGGTTTTTTGGGAATTTAGGGTATTTTTTGGGTTAATTCTAGGTATTGCTTCTTGAAATTGGGTTGTGTTGTGAGCTTGGATTTTGGTTTTGGTTCTCACTGTGTGCTGACTGTTGTCGAATTGCTACGTCTTATTGCTCTGTGATGTTAATGGCTTGCTACGATTGAAATTGCAGTATGAATTTCTTATTGCTATCGAATTTGCTTAAAAACTTATTATCAAATTGCTTGTTAATCGCTCGAAATTACTTATTGCTTGCTTCTTGTGTGCGGTTAAAAATAAATGATGAAGATATAGAGGGAGAGAGGATGAATGGATTTTCATTTTGGGTGTAAGGATTTCAGTTTTCAATTTTTTTTACTTATATATATATTTAATTTTATCTTACAATCAATCATAAAATACCACATGTATATTTAATGGTGGGAAAAAGCTAGCCAAGAGCCAAATTGGCCATGTTATGTGGCACGTATGTCAACTTAAAAACTTAGACAGTTTCCATTCAACTTATGACTCATTTGATCAAAAATAAAAGTATAAAAACTTTATTGATTGTAATAAAAAATAAAGGATTTAATTGATTATTCAATTTTTGTTTAAGGGTTTTTTGAACCCTTAATGTATTTATTTGAATAAATTAGAAAAACCTTTAATCATATATCAAAATCTTTGAATTTTGATCTTATTAGAAAAATCTTTAGTCACATAAATAACCATAAATTAAACTTAAAAAATTGAAGTGTATATATTGATCTAAAAATATTAATCATGACCTAGTAATATATTGGTTAAACTTTTATTTAAATATATATAACTAATGCATTATCTATTTTCTAATTTAATAAAAACAGTACATAATTAAATTTTAAAAGGCTAAAATATTAAAAAAACTTTTAAATTATTTTATTTTTTAATAAATTTTTATATTTTTATTATATCAAAATAAAATTTTGAATTGTGTTGAAATAAAATTTTATTTTAAACGAGAGATCAATTTATATTTGTAACTTATTTATATAAAAATTAAAATTTAAGAATTTATTTAGATATAAAATAAAAAATAAAAATTATTTGAATGTATATTAAAAATTAAGAATTTATTTTTTTTATACAACAAAAATATAAAAAGTTTATTTAAACAAAATAAAAAATTTTAAAATTTTTATTATTTTAACCATTTAAAAATCATTCCTTAAATAATAATATTTTAACTATTGTTTTTTGTTGCAATATTTTAACTATCTTTAATCTTTAATAAGTATATATAAATACTCCCTTATTTATAAATAAATAGTCAAATAGATGAATCAAGTTTAGTAAGAAACAAATGTCAGCTATTCATTGGTTAACCATTCCTCATTTACCCTAAACCCTGATCCACTCCATTCCTCCTTTCCCACATCATTAACAAATTTTCTTTCTGCCCATCAATGATTTAGACTTCCCTTAGCTTTTACAAAACCAAAATCTTTATCTCAACTTTACCAATATCTGCTATCCCCTTCTTTCTCTTCGCTATATTTCAGGGGGAGAAACAACTCAAAACAAAACAAAATTCAAGTGGAAAAACAAAGCTGTTGAAGAAAAAAAGGCTAGAACTAGACGAGAAAATGGCTAGTGGAGGAGGGTATGGAGACCCGAGCCAGAAGACTGACTATGTTTTCAAGGTAGTTTTGATTGGTGACTCTGCTGTTGGTAAGTCTCAGATTCTTGCTCGGTATGCTAGAAATGAATTCAGTTTAGATTCTAAGGCTACCATTGGAGTTGAGTTTCAGACAAGAACTCTTGTTATTGAACACAAGAGTGTCAAGGCTCAGATCTGGGACACTGCTGGTCAAGAACGGTACTTTCTTTTTATTTCTGTTACTAGTACCTTGCTTTTTAACTTTTCATGCAAAAAAGATTTGTTTTTTCTTGTTCTGTTCTTTTTTATTTAAGTTTTTTTGGATTTTTTATTTTATGTGCATCTGCTTCTTTTTTTTTTTCTTTTTTTATGTTCTTCCTTAGATCTGAAGTTTGTAGACAGAATTACAAACTTGCAAAAAGAAGCTGTTTGAAATTGAAAACCCAAGATCAGAATTTCAGAATGGTAATAGTAATATTTTATTTGCTAGATTTACTGTGGACTGACAAGACATGGTTTAGTTAGTTAACAAGATTGTGTTTAACTGTATAAATAGATCGTTGGGTGGTAAAAGGTTTTCAATTTCAAACAAGATTGGATTGGATGTTTGATGGATGAATTCTATAATTGCTGTTGATCTTTATTTATTGCTTTTAGCTTAATGATGAGCTTGATAAAAATTTACATGGTGCTCAAATGACAATCGGGACCTCAGTTGAATCTTAATGCTTGATGGCGTCACTTTTTCTGCTTAAGATGAAATAGTTTGGTACAAAGCATCCCATTCTATTAGATTCTTGATATCATCACATTAGCCACAAATCTTGGCCTAGACATTGAATATTTGTGCATGTGGTAGTGCGTATTTATGTTAATGGTTCTTTGTTAAGTAAGCATGCTATGTCGGTAAGTAGGGCTGTGATCTATGTCATCCATCTTGAATTGAACCGTTTTAGTTGAAGACTTTTCAGATATTTACCTTATTAAATAAGTGGTTGATCAACTGCCTGGGTTTGGTTAGCTTTTAATCATTCAACCAGTTGGTAATGGCTAAAGCAGTTGAATCCAACTCTTGACAATTATGTTTAATAAGGTATATAACTTCGTTTGGTACAGTCTAACTTGCTGGTTCCATCTAGGACACTTGTTATTTGGTTACATGGATTCTTTTGCCTTATCATATTCCTGTCTGGATATTCACCTCTAGCATCTAGGTCAACTAATACTATTTACCTATCTGAGTAAACCTTAAAATACTGTTATATGAGCAAATTGGTGATTTTGCTTCTTCTCTTATTATGTATTGAATAGATACAGAGCTGTTACTAGTGCATACTACAGGGGTGCTGTTGGGGCAATGCTGGTTTATGATATAACAAAACGCCAGACGTTTGATCACATTCCACGTTGGCTGGAAGAGTTGCGTGGCCATGCCGACAAGAACATTGTTATTATTTTGATTGGTAATAAAAGTGACCTTGAAAACCAACGGGAAGTTCCAACAGAGGATGCCAAAGAATTTGCTCAAAAGGAAGGACTATTTTTCTTGGAGACCTCAGCTCTTGAAGCAACTAATGTGGAGACTGCCTTCTTAACTGTGCTTACGGAGATATTCAACATTGTGAACAAGAAGAATCTAGTTGCTGGTGAGAATCAGGGGAATGGCAACCCCACATCACTAGCAGGCAAGAAGATCCTCATTCCAGGTCCGGCGCAAGAAATTCCAGCAAAAAGCAACGTCTGCTGTAGATCATAATTTAATTGGATTTCTCTCCTAATCTCAGTTTCTTTCTTTTACATTCTTAATAGCAATTTTTTAAGGGTGTGGTATATCTGTTTGTATATTTACGTTGCATTAGTTTAATTTGCAAGGGCAGCTAATTAATTGCATGTTTTGAGATGGGGAATAGAAAACCAAAATTTGAAGCTGAGTTGCAGATCGCTTCAATGTTGTTCTTAAAGCAATATATTTTATCCGTTTGTCCTGTTAAAGTTCCTCTGTCTTTGAAATATTTTGGTTGATAGAAAAAATAATGAGTTACTTTCAGAATAAGAAGATATTAAAAGCGTCTCGGTCATGGTTTAATGGCCATTTTACTGCTTTAAGATGGCTGCCAAAATGGTTGGCAGAAGCTGCATTGGGTATGGTGAGTGATTTAGCATATTATTATTCCCAACTCTGGCTTTGAATTATAAATCACTTGAATCACTTCAAACGGAGCACTTTTTTTATTATTATTATTTAGAGAAAAGAAATTCGGATTTTGAAAAGGAGCTCGTACTGTATGGGTGCAGAAATTGCAGCACCTTGTACTTGTATGAATGATTGAAAGCTCAGGTCTGCGAAAATGCCAGTGCCAGAAGTCACTCAAATTGCTTAAGGGTGCATATAGGATCCCTCAAATGTTTCATCTATGAGTTGGCATTTAATGTTTGGTGTCCTATTCGGTAGCATCCATATCATGTATTTTCTCCGCCTCAACATTGTGTTCCTCCGTTGAGGTTCCGTTTTCACCACTCATTTCATGGTTTTCTTGGGCCAAAGTGCCCTTTTCAGTCTGCATGCATGCTGAAAGACTTTCCATCAGCTATTGGCAGTCGACTGCTGTAACCATCACACTCAAACTTGCCCTACCCTTCCAGCAGCCAATGACTTCTTTTGATGTGTCCGCTTGGATATGATCTGATAAAGATTTTGGTTAGTAAGGGATCATGTATACAAATCATTCTGACAGGCATGGCAGATTAAATTAAGTTATTCTCTCAAAACAATCACACAGCAGCCTAACATCGGATTTGCTGCCTTCTGACCAAACTCAGAATGAAAAAACTCTGCAAATTTGATTGTTTTATATTGCAAAAGATTTTTGAAATCTGCTGGGGAAGCATATAGGATTTGTTTGGTAACATATGGGAGAATCGCAGCCAAGCCTTCTGATGATATCCTGAATGAACATGGTGCAGAGGAACCTTCTCTAGATGATTGGCGATCCTATTTTTAGAACAAAATCAACTAAAATAAGAAAAGGAATCCTAGGTGATTCAGAAGCAATTCAGGATATATAAATTCTGATGAAATGAATCTTAAGGCAAAATAATTATAATTTGTCTTATAAAAAAAAGTTAAAAGCACATAAAAGGGTAAAAGAGGATAACCTAAAAGATGGAAATAGAGCAATGTTTCTAGAGGTAAAAAGCACACAACAGGATCTGATTAAAAGAATATAAATATACTCGCAAACATCTTCAGGCCAAAGGAAGTTAATCTTCAGTTGCTGTCACAACTCAATAATTCAATTCCAAAACATCGTTAACTGACTTCGAAACATAATGAATTCTCTTCACATGGTTTGTTTCATTGTTTCTTGCAACAAGGTGGCCACTGAATAGGAAGGATTCATCAATACCATAAAGTATCTTAATGCTGTTTATTATAGCTTCATCTTTGAAGAAAAGAACAGGATCAACTCCTCTCCACTTGCCCTGAATCTGCAACTTTCTTTTCTCCCCTGCTTTTGCAGAATTAATTTTCTTATCAGTAGGTGCTTGAGCTGTCCCAGGAGAATTAGTCTCTGGAACAACTCCATCCAGTCCACCATCAACCAAATCAGCCTTTAAAGCCACTACTGAGATCTTTTCATCAACCTCTGAAGTCACTTCTGAGATCTTTTCATCAGCCACTGAAGCTACTATAGTTTTCACAATGGGATCAGCAAATAGCATATATGAATCAAGGTACAGGAGTTGCATCTTATGGATGGCATATAAATTATGTGCCACATTATAAACCACCCATAGCCATAAAAGAGGGGGGGGGGGGGGGGGGGGGGATAATTTTGAGTAACCTGGCAAATGAAAAACTGTGGAAGACAGCAATGAAAAAGGCTTCTGTGTTCTGATCATGAGGCATTATCCTCATGCAGCGTTCTAGTTGCAGATCAGAAACTTCTTCCTCCAAATTATCAGCAGAAGAAACACAACCATCCGGCTGAGTTCCGTCTTCAAAATTTACATTCTCACCGTTCTCACTCTTCTTGTTATTGTCAGTTACATCCACATAATTTTTGCCAGAAGGGAACATGGTGGGAACAATCCCATTTCTGCGGAACTTGAGAACATCCTTGTCTGATGCTAACCAGACTTCTGTATCACGTACCTGATGAACATGGTAAAAACTGGACATTTCATGAGAAGAAGAAAATGAAATGTTGTAAAGGAGGCTAATTAGTTGAACTGTAGCAGAATTCTGCTAGCTTGGATAAAATAAAAATATAGCTTATCCAAAAAAAAGAAAATGAAATGTTGCAAGGCAAGGTCTTTATGCAAGTATTATATTATTAATATTAGTTGATAGTTACATTCTATTGGTTTCATGTGGTTCTGAAGGTCTATTTTTCACGTCTAGATAAAGGTTGGGAGTACATATCAAACATAACCACCCTGACCCTGTATCAAATGAAACCAATTATTGCCAGCGATAACCTAGGAATAGATATGAAACATTTTTTTCAGACATGAGGCACCATATGTCAAACTTATTTGCATCCTAAATGAAAAATGAAATGCATATGCACACAGCAGAACATAGAAAATTATGCAAAAACAGAATTTCTACTTGTATAACAATAACATGCTAAAATTTAAGTAGAATGGAATACCCAAGAATAGATTAGGTGAAATGGTCACTAACCTTCCATTTTGTTAGACCTGGGTGGCGAATTAATTGAGGCAGCTGATCTGAGACATTAACCAGTTCAACAGACCCTCCACATCTCCGTAAAATCTGAAGCAAATAGGAAATGGGGGTCAAAAGGGGAAAAAAGAAAATAAAGGGTAAGAGTTGTACATCAATATCATTTGCTAGAACCTGAAGAAAAAGAAAATGAATAACTAATTCTGCATACAGAATAAAGGGTAAGAGTTGTTATCAGAGCAGGCCAAAAAGCTACTCAAGAAATCAATAAGTATATAGAAATCTAACAATTCATAATCTATAGATCAATTTTAAGTGAAGATGAACAAAACTAAGTAAAACCTAAAGTTATGAGGGAGACAAAGATATAAACAAAAGCAAATGAACCACGCCATCAGGTAGAGATCCTCCTTTGGCTGAGTGGTGTATAATCTCAAGCAACTGAGATGTTTTTGAACCAGGTGCTGCACACACTGCATAAGGAATTACCAGGAAATAGTAACTATATTTCAATGTAGATCAGATACAGCTTCTGAAAAGAAGATAAACAATGAAGGCTATCTGAATGCATCATATGTTGCTTACTATCAAGAACAAATTGATCTGGATGTAAATCAAGGAAGAGAGGAGGCACCTGCACCACAAACAATGGAGAAATTTTGGTTAAAAAGAAGACCCTCTGTAACTGAAACTTGCCAAACATAGAGCAGCAAATTACTGCATAAACAGTAAGAACTAGTAAGTGGAGTCCACCTGCCATGCTGACAGCCTCCTGTCTACTGATATTTCCAATTTCAGTTTCAAGTTTCAAAAACTCACGAAACCTGAAAGTTATTTAACCAAATCATTAACCAACTAATGACTATATGATAATAAAAAATCGGTTGAGTATGTAAACCATTGAAAGCATACTGGACAGCTTGCACATAATTCGTACATACTTAGTAGCTGAAAACCAACGAGGCAGCAACATGATAAAACAAGCACTTGTAAATCACATCATATTACCAGTAAAATGTAGGAATGTTGCAAATGCATCATTTCAGTCTTCCTGTTTTTCTTTTCTTTTCCCATTTGGGGCAGTTTCCCAACAGTAGATCTTTCCCTAAGCATTCACCCACATAAAATAAGAATGTCTTCATCTACAGATATATAACAGATACAAAAAGAAGAACATAAGTGATTAGTCTTTGTAACATTGGAAGCACTTTAACTCACCAGAATTAGCAATAGGTACAATTAATATATAGATGTATATAATAATCATAGGATTCTATGACAGCTGAACCCATTGTGTACACCACAAAATTCAAGATCACACAAATACCCAGACCGTAAAGGAACACCTTAGTTTTTTACATGGGATCGCCGAATAAAACATGACGCACCTCTCAAGAGTTTGGTTTTTCCTTATCCGCATGCGTGAGAAATTTGATTGCCATGCAACATTATCAGGGCACCGAGGCAACGGTTTGATAGGCTCCAAATCAGCCCCTTCAATTGCCTGCAGGTAAGGGTGTTGCCAAGAGCCAAAAAATACAGTTACTTATAACAGCATTAAAATTAAGACATCCAAAACATAAAGAAAAACTGTCACTTACTTCAGATTGAAGAGATTTCATAAAGTCATTCTCCAACTGCGAACGAACACCTTCATAAAATTGGCTGCTCCCAGGGATTTAACTAACGGTTGCAATTACGTTTTTTGTTGTATCGCATTTATCGTATTTTCGGATATGACAGAGATCATTGCTGTCATCGAGATCATTGCAGTTGTGAATTTTTTTTTATTTTACATAATTTATTATAAAATGTAATAATTATAATCATAAAAACTCTTATTTAATAATTTTAAAAATAGTTTATGATACTATATTTTTTATTTTTAAAAAAAAATTGTTCACAATTTTATTTAGATTATGATAAAATATTCATATTTGGTTTAGCAACAAAATTTTTGCTTGAGCCAAATTCATATTCAATATTAATTCTAGACAAATCAAGATATTAACAAAACATAATCTGTTAAATACCAAGCATTTATATTTAATAAAATTACAAACTTAAAAATATAATAATTTCAAATTCTATCAATTATAACTATTGATATATATTTCAAATTTTACCATATGGTAGAATGACAAGGATGATCAAATTCTCTATTTTTCACTTTGAGAGTTAAGTTGACTCCATCTCCATCCCTGTCACCTTCATTCTTGGTACATTTGAGGTGGAGGATATATTTAAGGATGATACATTTGTGGTGGAGTTTGTGGTAAATAATACATTTGAGGTGGATAATAACCACATAAAAGTGGATAACCATGAGGAGATTGAAAATTAGATTGTTTCGGTGGATAGTAACGTCCTTGAATACTAGCAGATGATTTCACTATAC